CACCAGAACTCAGAAAAATCATCCATCAGACAACATTATTGGAGATCCAACAGATGGGATGAAAACTAGGAGCAGGATGAGAAATAATCTGATAGAAATATCCGGATCTGCCTGCTATACCTCAAAAATAGAACCATGAAATGTAAAAGAAGCTTTACAGGATGATCTGTGGATCAAGGTACACCAATTTGACCGGAATCATGTTTGGGATCTGGTACCAAGACCTAATCGTGTTAACATAATTGGAACAAAGTGGATCTTCAAAAATAAAACTGATGAAGCTGGAAATATTGCAAGGAACAAAGCTCGGTTGGTTGCTCAAGGATACACTCAGATAGAAGGAATTGACTATGACGAAACGTTTGCCCCTGTGGCAAGACTAGAGTCGATCCGAATTCTGTTGGCAGTCGCATGTATTCTGGATTCACACTATTTCAGATGGATGTTAAGACAACGCTTTTGAATGGGTACCTGCATGAAGATATCTATGTGGCTCAACCGAAAGGATTTGAAGATCCAGATCATCCATCTCATGTCTGCAAGCTCAGAAAAGCCCTCTATGGACTCAAACAAACTCCAAGAGCATGGTACGAACGACTGACACAGTATCTGCTACATCATGGATATAAGCAAGGGAGTGTTGACAAAACTCTGTTCGTAAAAACCACTGGAAGTCATGTTACCATTGCTTAGATTTATGTGGATGACATTGTCTTTGGGTCCACTTTACAAAAGTACACTGATGATTTAGTAAAGGTCATGAAGGAAGAATTTGAAATGTCCATGGTTGGCCAACTGACATATTTCCTAGGGCTGCAAGTTAAACAAAGTCCTGAAGGGTACTTTATCTCACAGGAAAAGTACGCTAAGAATTTGGTCAAGAAGTTTGATCTGGAATCATGTAAACCATCCAGGACACCTATTTCTACCTCCACAAAAGTATCTAAAGATGACACTGGTGCATCAATGGATAACACAGTGTATCGATGTCTGATAGGAAGTCTGCTTTACATAACCGGTAGTCGGCCATATATAATGTTCAGTGTTGGAATATGTGCAAGGTATCAATCTGATCCAAAAGAGTCACACCTGATTGCTGCTAAACAGATTTTGAAATATATAGAAGGTACAATTCAATATGGGCTATGGTACTCCAAAGACAGTGAACTCAGTCTGGTTGCATACTGTGATGCTGATTGGGCAGGAAATATTGATGACAGAAAGAGTACTTCGGGTGGATGCTTCTTTGTTGGAAAAAACTTGGTATCATGGCTGAGCAAGGAACAGAATTCGATTTTCTTAAGTACTGCATAGGCAGAATATATAGCCGCTGGAGGATGTTGTACTCAGTTGGTGTGGATGAAACAGATGCTTCTAGACTATGGTCTTACTCAAAGAATTATGACACTCTACTGTGATAATGTCAGTGCAATCAATATCTCAAAGAATCCAGTTCAACATTCCAGAACGAAGCATATTGATATAAGGCATTACTACATCAGAGACTTGGTAGAATCCAAGGAGATAGAGTTGGAATACATGCAAACAGATAAGCAACTGGCTGAAATTCTGACTAAGCCCCTGGATGCTAATCGGTTTGAGATTCTCAGATCTGCTCTGGGAATCTGCAGGATTGACTAATAAGGCAGTAAGTTATACAGAAGGAGAGTATATGGTATTACATTTACGGGTCAAATTTCAGCCTTTGACTTCCTTTTAAATCTCCCTTCTGGTTTTGTTAATATAATATCTTAACCATAGTTACCATAAATTAATTTGCCTTTTTCGAAATGCAAATCTTCAACCCTTCTGTTTCATCCCTAAAAAGAAGGTATACCGTTGCGTCAATCACATCAGTTCTGCATGTATTCTGACAAGCTGCATTGAATAGGGTTCTTCACCCTTGGGATTATATATGATTTTTGGGTCAAGTGTGAAGGAAGAAGAGTTCAAAATATCCGTGCTCTCTACTTATTTTTTCTCTGATCCTCTACCTAGGGTTTACCTTCTCGCATACCCAAATCCCACAACAATGGCGGACTGTAACACCCCCCAAAACAAGACTACTTAAAACGAGTCTTAACACCTGCAGATCAAGCACAAAACTAGCACAGCGGAAGATAAAAAGATAACTGGATAAAAGGAATCCAAAACGGGGTGTTATGCCACGTATACCACACTAGGTATACGCTACGACGACAATATGCAAGTGTAACACTATCCCAAAAATAACCAAACTAGAACAATCTAAAGACATTGGCACACATGCCTCAACAACACTGTCTAAAGATACAGGTGCTAAGCTACCGGCTCTAGACATCGCGCTCGACTACGCATCACCTGAAAGATACAAAGATAAACATCGGGGCGACGCCCGGTCAGCGAAAGATGCTGGTAACCCACCAATACCGTTAAGTATCATAAATAGGTAGATATATAATATGAAAACCATTTTCGAAACGGAATACATATATATATGTCAAAACCAAGATCAAAAGACAACACAAGACTCACCTCTCACAAGGACAAAACCGGGAACACATCCCAAACCACAAAGGTTAACCACACACAAGGATAAAGACTCACCCAACGGCAACACATGCCAAACACCACACCACAAGCCTCCGTGACTACACACGTCACGAGAGAAGAGAACTCACCACAACAACGGCTTCACAAGCCCTCGTGACATCACCCATCACGAGTTGATATGCATTCCTTATGCCATGTTCCAACCTTATGGCTACCCCCAACCCGCCAACCATTACCTCCAGAAAGCCCCTGTACAGCCAAGTCCAACCTTATTCCTCCGGGACCGTCGTCCCCCACCTATAACCACCAACGAAAACCCACCAATTCACGGCAACACATGCCCGGATAACACAATGTTATCCCCCAAACACGTGGACTCAGCCACAACTTCATGAAATCACGTCACGGCCACCACGAGGACCGCTGCAATACCTTGGTGACTAGCGTCCCATACCACTAATCGTGCAATCCAAGTAAAGCCACACACGCACCACCACTCACGCGAAACAAGCAACGGATTGCAACAGAGGTACGAAACATACTCAAATAAGAGACAGGTCACCACCCATCGACAACAACGACGCTAGCATTAGGATAATAACTAGCAAGCTCAGCAACGAGGAAACTCAAGATAGTTCTAAGGAACACACAAGACACCACATGGTTCAACGAAACACAATGTTGAACACTTAGCACGATACACAACACCAAAGATCCTACATGGATACCTACCATAAAGCTCTAGACCTACGAAACATCAAGAAAGCGCTCAAATAGTTCCACAAAAGAACAACGGAAGGCCAAAAGATCAAAGACCAAGACAAACGAAACACGGGGAACAAATCCCACTCCAACATCACTGTGTTCCCCGCGGGTGGACCCACGGGTAGTGCCCCACCCGTGGTCCCGCCCGCGGGTGCAACACCCACAAGGCATACGTTCCCGCGGGTAGGCCGGCAGGTGGTGCCCCGCTCGCCGTTCCGCCCGCGGGTACGTCCCTGTACCACAACAAATTCCTTCGGGGATTTTCTCCTCCAAACACAAATTCAAGTCCAAAACATGCCAAATCTCACCAAGCACAACAAAATGACTTGAACCAAGAAAAATGCCAAGCAATAGCACAAAGGAAACCTAAACATAAGCTCTAGATATGCAATATCACAAGATAAATGCATAAACTCTCACATTTCATAGCAAAACACAAGTAGAAGCCAAGAAATCATATATAGGTAAGCAAAATAGGTTTTGTAGAGCATGGGTTACCTCTTGAAGACCAAAAGACTCTTCTTACACCACAACAAGCTCTCCACTAAGCTCACTAGCCAAACCCACTTCAAGATCAAACCAAAAGATCATAAAGATCCAACCTTTAAGAAAAAGACAACTAAGATGGAACCAAAAAGATTAGACAAGCTTAGATCTTACCCTTCTAGATGCCAAAATAGAGGAAAGATTGAATCTTGGAAGCAAAACTTGGAATCTTGACAAAGGCTTCTTTTGGCTTGAAGAACAAGCTACTCTTGTTTTCTAGAGAGAAGGTAGAGATATTTTCTAGGAAATGTAAGGGAATGAAATCAGGAAGTCTTCTAGGTTTAGGTTACAAAACTAGCTCTTGGTAAAAAGACAAGGATACCCTTACTAACTCGTAGAAATTGTAAGGAACAAGGGAACTCCTCTCAAAGCACAAGGTACAACACCACTTAAAGATTGACTAGTCAAATACTAGTCCTTGAGTATCAAAAATCAGGATTTTAGGAATCAATTCTTCAAAAGAAATAGAATTAATTACTCAATTAATTCATGGTTTGGAGTGTGGATTTTTGGGGTGTCACACGGACGCCGTAAGAAGCATCATAATCAAGCTTGAGAGGAAGATCCATTCACCAGAAACAGCCTCTAAGCATATAAAAACTCTGCTCCAGTTAGCTATGAAGAAGAAGTTAAAGATTGACTCTGCTCTACGCGATGAAATCATGGTCACTATGCTTTCAGATTATCCGGAATTTTATGCAGACTGGTCTGAGGATGACACCAGTTAGCTCTTGTTGCTGGCCTCTAAAGCGAGTGATGAGATTAGTCCTGCATGTATTCCAGAGCCCGCAGATGAAAATCGTGCTGCGGCATTCCTTCAGTATTTTGCTCAAAGGGCTCTTGAATTAGACGAGGTCTCACGACGTCGAGCAGCAGCTCAACCCCTCTACTTACAGGCTGCCCAAGACGAAACCAAACACCGGCTTGAGATTCGGGTTCGGGCCAAAATACCCGAACTTCTCATTGTTCAAAATTTTATGTCATTTATAATTATCTTGTTTGAATTTATTAAATACGAAATAATATATTATTGTTTTATATCAAATTAATTATATTTTGTAAAAATTACTTTTTGAGTTATGATTATCCAAACGTTAAAAAGTTTAGCCATTTAAGTGGATTTTAGACTTTCCCGTTCAGTTCCCTGTACCAATATATATAGCCAATATCGTTGTTCCCAATATATAGCCACTATGGACTGTGCGTCTAGCTGTATAACACTTTAAGTCACAGATTAATTAGCTTTGGGAGCTGTATAAGACTTTAAGTCACACATTAATTAGCTTTGGGAGCAACAAAATCAAATGCAGGTTTAGTTTTTCTAGGCTTTTAATTGTCTACTGCAGCATTTGATCCCACCAATGCACCACTAATTTGCAAATTTCTATTCTATCATCACTGCAAATAGAAATTCAAAAGAACCATCAATCACAATGCAACCTGCAAATTTAAAAATATGAATGAGAAGAAATCAATTGAATTTTAGTTTGATGTGCACTTAAATATGCTCTATTGTTGATGAAAATATAAAATAAAAATATAACATTAACATATACAAAGGTTAAATGGTAAAGCTATTTCATCTCAAACAATAAATACAAATATACTAATCATCAGAGAACAACAAATCAACAATACAAGTCACTTATATACAACTACAAGTCGATCAAATAAATAGAAAGTAATACACTGATATTTTAGAAAATAAGAACTCTATGAACACAACAATAAAATCCCATTATTCAAGAACCAAAAGCAAAATTTCAATACATAGAGCAAAACATATGCCACCCAAAAGTACAAAACAAACAGGTAAAAGTGAATGAAATTTGATAAATAATAGCAAACTACAGCTGAGAATTTCGGCTATCTGCTAAACTGCTAAACAAAATTTTCCGGAAAAATGATTAAAAAAAATTCAAACATTCCCAAAATTTCCCAAAAGAGAAATATTAAAGCAAAAATTTTAAGAATATTAAAGACAGATATTAATATTAAAGCAAAGGTTTGGCAAGATTCGGCTAAACACAAGAAATACTAAAAATATAAAAAGATTCAACAATAACACAAATAAATACATATATAAGGGAAAATTTTCACAAAAATTTAATTTAAAAAGAAAAAGAAAAACTTAAAGCACAGGTTAGTGGCTTACCCCTACCGGATTTTCATAGAACTTCCCAGATCTTGTTGTATGCCACGCATGCGGCATATCTGACTAACTAAGATTTCTTGAGGCTTGAGGCTTGAGAGGGCACATGTGACTCAAAGACGAGAGATTGTGAGAACCTAAGAGGTCAGATACTCAGAGGTGACCGGTGAATGGGGATACTGTGAGAGGGCGGCCAACGGAGGCCGGAAACGGAGAGGTTGAGAGAGTGAGAGGGGTGAGTGGTGAAATTGTGAGAAGCAATGGAGACCGGAGACAGAAAGGATGAGAGAGACAAGGATGGTGAAATGGTGAAATGGTGAATTTGTGAATGGTGAAGTGGTGAGAGGCTGAAATCTGAGAGAATAAGAGGGAGGCGGAACTAAAGAGCGAAGGAGAAAAAGGATAACAAATGACAAGAAACCCTAATCTCAACTTATATATGTAGGATATTTCGGTTTCGGGTCGGATTCGAAATATAATCCAAAGACCCGAAATCCGAACCGTTGTAAATAGAAAAGGCCGTGTTCTGTTCGGATTCGACCCGTTCCGGTTCGAATCCGACCCGATTCGGGCCGGGCGGGTCGAACACGCGAATTTTTCGGGTACAACCCGATTTGTGCCCACCCCTAGCTGAAACAGTAAAAACTGAGGCTGATCCTCCTGTCCAACAGGTGTTCAAAACCCTACGGTCATCCGTTAAGAACAAAGGTCCTGTTGTGGTTCCTACAACTTCTACCCGGTAGGGGAAACCAACTAGTCGCTGCAGAGGACGAAGTATCACCCTTGAGGTTCAACCTCCTGCTGAGAATCCTAACACATCTATCTATAAACCTCAGTTTGTCTCCTCTAGTGCTCAAGGAAAATGGTCCACGATGATCCGGAGAGATCTTATTGTTCAGAGGTCCGTTGATGAACACCAGTTGAACTCTGTTTGCAACATCTTGCCCTTGCAGAGTGATGTGGGCCTGTTAAAGACTGTCACCTCCATTTGTCCTTATTCGAAGCTTCTGACTTATGAGTTCTATTGTAATCTTAATGAGGAGATTGACAATTTGACTGGGACGCGATGCATGCAAATCTTCATCCGAGGTAAATGGTATGTCTTCGGTCCTGATATGATAAATGAATATTATGGTTTGAAGGGTGTTCACGAAGAAGATATCACGGACTGGGATTTGGTGGCAAAGACCCTCACATGTGGACACACTACTGCATGGCCTACGGGTGAAACTGATACTCTGCATAGCTCGCGTCTCACCTCTAAATATGTCATTTTGCACCGGATTGCTCTTCACAACTGGCTACCATCTGCTCACTTTCATACGGTCGACAAACAATTGGCAGCTCTCCTGTTTCGGATTGGAACTAAAATGTCTATTGATCTGGGGTCATGGATCTTTTATCATATCCTCACGTTGATCCATCCGCGAGAGCAGAAGGTAAGGTTACCTTTTCCTAATCTGATTTTTGGGGTTCTGAAAACGCAAGGCCTAGTGCCAATGCCTAGTGAGGTGATAAGTCTAACTCTTCTTTATACTGTTGATCCTCGTCTTCTGACTGGAAATCACATTCGCGATGTTACGCTGGTGAATGCTCCTCCCTCTACTGATGCTGATACTGTGGCTGATGATTCGCCACATGAGAAATATGTTCAACTCTCCCTTCGACTGAAGGCCCGGGTATCTAAACTTGAGACTGTTCATGGAATCATTGCGAAGCAGCTGACTGGGGCCCGTACTGAATTGGCTACCGTTCTTCTCCGCTTGAGCATGACTGAATCTGCTGCTGCTGATGCTGCTAAGTTTGACAGTGAGGACCCCTTCAATGCATGACTGTGCTTTGACTATCATTGGCAAAAAAGGGGAGTGTGGAACTCAGGGGGAGTGTTTTTTATATTCTTGTACCATCTGCCCCTGTCTGGGTGTCTGATTGTGATGGCACCACCATATGAAGAATGTTGTTTTGTTTCAGCATAATTTGTGTGATGTGTGTTTGTTATGAATTGTAATTCAGATCTTTGTCTTTTATGCATTTGCTATCTTCGTCCTATCTATCTTGTGTTTTTATATTAGTTGAGTTGTTAGTATTTTAATTGCTCCAAAAAACCCCCAACATATAATTGGCAATATTATTATGGCAAACTAAGATAGGGTTAGCTTGGTGTCGGTTTGTTTTACAGAAGACTGATCTATCAGATACAGCAACAGAGGTACTGACACTGAAGATCTATTTTAGGAAGATGTTTCCTTTTTACTGAACGCGGTTTAAGAAGACAGTTTTGGAAAGAAGATTAGCGGATCTGTCTTGGAAAGGTATTGACCGAATCTTTAAGATTACATTCTTCACATATCGTCCTACCATCTACAATCAGAGAAATCTATGGAGAGTGTTCTTACTATGGAAGTATAAGTACCCTCATTCGGTTAAGAATTAGGGCTACGCTTTTGAGAAGAAAGAAACACTCCTAACTATACTGAAGATCATAACTTTGATTATCATGACTCTTCTCAAGACAATTAGTTCTTGGTGATTATAATGAAGAACTTGAGAAGAGATATCACTGCTTAAACGAAAGGACGCTAAGATCACACAGTTGTGGGAACAATATTGGACTGTGTCACTAAAGTGGACTGCATCAGAGTTAGCTCTCCAAGTGAAGGGATTTCATTGGACTTTTGTATGCACGGCTCTCTAACTTCAACAATCCACTAAACCTGTGTAGACTGGGTACGTACCTTATGTGGGGCACTTGGGTGAGATTATTGTTTCTCTACCTTTGTACATTAGATTATGAGTTGTGTTTTACTCTTTCTACAAACAACTCAGTGATCTAACCAACTGACTGACATCATCGTTGAATTAGTCAGTCTATTTCATCAGTCGTTTAATCCGGTTAATTTTATTAAATTGAGGAAATGCAAAATTACACATTTATCGATAAATTGTACTATTGTGTGGTGATTCTCGAAATATCGAGAATGGGTTTCGACGTGTCGAACCCGCGTGTTGTGTAAATCTGCGGCTTGGAATTTTTAGTGTTACATATGGTGAAATTTGTATTACATTTTTATTGTGGATTAAAAGTTATGTTTTTGAGAAATTATTATATGTGGAGGAAATTGCAATTTGAGAAATTATATTTTTGAGAAAATGTATTTGGAGAAAATTATATATTATGGAGAAAATTATATTTTTTGTGGAGAAAGTATATGTGGAGAAATAATATGATTTTAGAGAAATCATTAAATTGTGAGTGTTCAGTAAATGTGATTACTGTTCACTAGGACTATTTACTACTCATTGGGCTTGGAATCTCATGAGGGTGTAACACATAGGTTATGATCCAGTTTCCAAATTGTTTGTGTGGTAGTAGGCAGTAAAACCTGACTTCTTGAATCATATACTACCTAGTGGCTTGGAAGCTCCTGCGGGTGTGCACATAGGTTTTAGTCCATATTCTAAGTGAGTTTCAAGAGATTGGTTAATTCTCCACTTAAAAATATTAACTCTCTACAGAAAAAAAAAAAAAAAAAGAAGGTATAACTCCACATGTATTTTGGAAAAGTATACAATTATATGAGTTTTGGAAATATAAAATCCAAGCCTATATTTTACGGGGTGAAGTGAAACTTACTTAGCTTACGCTAATCTTTGTCTATTCTCTATCTTTTTGTGTCAAATAATTTTTACAGGTGAACATGGATAGGAATTCAAGATGAGTTCAAGCTAAGAAGGGATTAAGAATAGACGGATTGGAGATTTATTATTTGAGAAGCTTTATGGTTGTATAGCGTTATACTTTATTGTATTCTTATAAAAGTGCGCAGAGCCTGTTTGAGTCGCTTGAGCTTGTAAGCCAGAGCTCGCATTCCCCCTCCATCTGCCGGCGCAGCCCAACTGCTAATGACTATACGTTTAAAATCCGGATGTGATAGCCACATGTTTTGAAAAAGAAACTGCTTCGGTGTAGACATGCTGCTATTCACTCCATTTAGTAGGATCGGTGCATGATCAGAAGTCGTTCTAGCTAAAACATGAATTCTGACATCTGTGAGATTGTCTCGGAATGCCGGGCTCATTAAGAATCTGTCAAGTCGTTTCCAAACCGCCCCTGAGCTTCGGACTCCATGCCAAGTATACTGATTGCCCAGAACTTCCAAGTCTAACAAAGAATTGTCATTAATAAAGTCCGCAAAGTCAGAGATATTATTAGTATTCGGTAAAGCACTGCCCCGGTATTCTGAAACGCTGGCTATGACATTGAAGTCTCCACCCAGTAGTATCGGCCTTGATTCCACTATTAAGTGGGCGAGCTGTTCCCACATGTGAGCCCTTTCCGCTCTCGTATGTTTGGCGTAGACTGCTATAAAATGAAAAGAGTACTGCCAGGGTATAAACTTCACATTACAAAAAATAAATTGATTATTGTCAAGCTGCACTTGCACATCACATGAGTCGGACCATAGCAGCCAAATTTTCGAAGTTTCAGAGGCATAACCGGACTCGAGATTGAACTCCCTAACAAAGCTGTCCAAACAATTATTTGGGATCATCGGCTCTAGAACTGAAGCAAGGTGAACGTGCTCACGTCGTAAAAGTTGTTTGAGCCTACGTCGTGAGGAAAGTAGGCCCCTGACATTCCAACTTAGCAGGTTCATTTTAAGCGGTGGGAAACAGAGACGCGAGCGATTTTGCCAGCAGCAAGCCTCGTTGTAATAGCAGGAACATTCACCGAGTAATCTTTACGGGGGCGGCTCTTCTTCTTGGTGATCCTTATAAAGTTTTCTGGTTGAGATTTGCCAAGCTTTGAGGCAAATTTCCTACTAGCTTCTTTCCACGAGTCCAAGAGGGACTGGTTGAGAGTATGAGTGATATGGGCTTCGTCCCCATCTGATAAATGTCCAGGTAACGAATCAGAAGTGGATGAACGACGGAGGCAGTGATCATCGATGATGGTTGTCCCTAACTGGGCGTTGGCCTCCGGAATTGCTACCGAGTCCGTTGAGCTTATGGTATCGAGGATTGTCTCATTCGGGGGGTCTTCTAGTGCATCCTGCTGCTGATCAATTGATGGATTGCTTTGGTTATCGGCTTGGGTTTCATCTCTGAGCACTATTGCTTGGTTGGCTTGGCGCCATCTCTTCCTTGGGGGGACAATCTGGGCTTGCCGGGCGGTTGTAGTCTCACCGCCGACAAATTGCGAGTCTGTTGATTAGCCGGCTGGGAACGACAATCTGCTGTTGGATGCCCGAACTTTTTGCAACCCAAACAGTAAGGAGGGACATACTCATACCCAATCTTCTGCACAAAGCCACCATATGATCCATTGTTTATCCAAATCTGATCAGTGAGGGGTGCGCTGACGTTCAGTTCCACACATACTCGAGCCACAGATGGCCGATTGTGCACCAAGGTGGAGGTGTCGACCTTCAGAGGAGTGCTTACCAGATTAGTGATAGAGTAAATGGCTCGTTTGTCGTGGAGGTGAGCTGGCAAACCGTCAAAAGCGATCCAAACAGGGACAATGGGGGATTCAATGTCTGGGCGGAAATCTGGCGACCATTTGAAGACACGCATGAGGGCGCCCCTGATCGACCAAGTCTTTCGAAGCCAACAATGTTGGAAATCAATTTCATGATCAAAGTTGATTAGGATCAGGTTGTTGGTTGCCTAAGCGTTGGTGTTCCGCTATAGTATTAATGAATTTTGAATTAAGAAAACGAGTTATTGTAAAGAAAATTTAGTAGTGAAAATTGGGGTGTTACAAATAATAATCCAATGGTGAGTGTTATAAATATCTCATTCATTATAGACATTATTGTTGATTTGTAACATATGTAACAGTTATGTCATTTAATATAATACTTAATGATTGTACATGTATATATATTCAGATATTGAAATAACAAAATGAGAGGTCTCTCTGGCTTATTGTGTTCTTCATCTCTTCTCTACCTTCTTTATCTAAATTTCCATTGGTCAATATGTTTGAGCTAATAGACTTATTACAACAATAACATTGGCTTGTGGGGACGGGCACTGCTCCAAAATGTCTTTTATAAATATTAAATCTTTTATAAATTTTTTTAGTAACTAAAAATCAAACAAACTTTATAATACATTTTATAATATTTGTAAGTTATCAATTTTTATAATGTGTTAATAAATTAATTAATCTCACATAATTTAGTAGTATAAAAAGTCAAGTTCAAATGATTAGAAGTATTTTCTACATTTGTAATATTACAAGTCTTATTTTAAACAAAAGTATTAACTTTGAAAATGTGTATGTGAATATATATTAATTAACATTATTGTACTAAAAAGTTTAAATGCCTCAATTGGCCCAGGTTCGCCTCGCGGCAAACGCGCAAAATTAGAGATATTCTCTCGGTTTGGTGATATTTTGCATGCAGTGGAATTTTCAATTTTTGGTGGAATTTTCACTTTTTGGCATCAAACACAACCTCACTTGTATTTTGTACCAAACTAGTATTGCACCCATGCAATGCACGGAATGAAAATTACCTATAAAAGAGGTGATTTGATGACTTTGTTTGAACCCAACATTAAAATAGATGCCTACCTAAGATTATGACTAGAAAATTATGGTCCAATTCAAAGCTAATCTACTCACCTCGGTACTCACAATTGAAGAATGTGTTCCATCCCAACTAAAAGCATAAGCCGATAGTTGGATTGCACATTAATGGCTCAACACGCCCCCTCACGTGTGCAGTGGGTTCCAAGCAACACGTGGACCATAGTTGCTTATGGGTGGTGCACACGTCACGACCCATGACCATTGACATGGCTCTGATACCAAATTGAA